AATTATTCATAACAAATCTTGCAATTTTTATGAGAAAAAAAAAACGTTTGTCCTAATTAATGTTTCGTGAGAATGTGTCATATTAAAGCTTACAACTTAAAAGTATTCGACAAAGTCCATAATTCGACCAGTCCACATTTTATTCTTGAGTTACAAGAAACACCAACAATCTTAGAATTTACAAGGGGTATATATATATATATAATTTAGTTTTTAACTGTATATATATATATATATATATATATATATATATTATATATGGTTTACATTCGTCTCTGGATCCCTCTTCACATTTCTCTCTTTTATTACTCCTTTTGTTTTCTGCACGTAGCTCCTCTTAATACACCTCCATTTCCCTCCCCCTAATATCCCGCCTATATCCTCCTCCTTTAAATTCCTTCCTCTTCTTCCTCCTCCTCCCCAGGAGCAGTTAAACATGGAAAGGCCATTGGAGGGGTGGTGTTGAGGTAATGACATTCATTTTCTACACGTGCCTCGTAATTTTTTGGGGGGAACTAGAAGACAAAGTCATCTTTGTTTGACCAAAATCGGTTCAGAGACGGCTGAGATATAATACTTGTGTACCACCACAAATATTAGATAATTAGAAAAAGCCGTTGAAAAACGGAATAGCGCATTTTACGTCGTATTTAAGTCAATGCCGATGTTGGCTTTTTCTTGTTGGTTATATTACGCACAACTAGCCGTCCCATATATTGTTATTTTTAGTTAAATAATTAATTAACGGTCACGGTATTTTTTTGAAAGTGGAGCTGAATTGGCATGATCGTATCTGCTAAATTTCACACATTTTGGGGTCTAAAATTACCTTCGTAGCAATTTTAGGTTCTAAAAGGGCACTAGAAATGTCATAGATAAGAATAAGAGCAATAACTATGCACTTTGATGGCATTTGCGGTCTGAAAACAGAACTCAACTATCCCTTTAAAAACAAGTTCATGAAGATAATCTACAGTTTGAGCGAAAACAGACCATTATTAATGAAAAAATGGGTAAAACTGCTCTGATCAATTCTTTAATTTTTCCGACTATATTATTACATATAAATTACATTTTAAGTGAATGTAAATCATCTCAAAGCAATGCATTGGCTTTATATAGCATTCAAGACATTTAATTGTTGAAATATTTGTTTTAAAGCCTGTATCAAGTATTATTTTCATGGAAAATGTTTAGGAAAATTCAAAAATTGTTCGGATAATTTACTGTTAGAGGTTGTCGCACAGTGGCACCTTCAAAGAAAACCATAAATGTCTTTGAAGTTTGAGAATGTTTTCGGGAATAGTTGCATGTTAGAGGGTTAGTACAGTAAAAGGAATATAATAAGTAATATTTCATCAAAAAAAATACGCATGAACCTTCAACAATGTTACCAAGTCACTTTAAAGTGGTATTGGTCTGGGGGATATGTCACCGGAATGTGGATCCCATGGTTCGCTGTTGCACCAATGTCCTTTGGCAAAACATTAATCTACATACATTTTGCCACTCTCCACTCAGGTGTAATAAATGGCTACTTGGTAGGAATTTATTCCCTTGAATGCTTCTAGCACCTGAGGGCAGCTTGGTGAGAGCCAGGAAAACAATAGTACATGGTAGGCAATTTGAGCATCCCCTGGGATGGATATGTGTGCAATATAAATGTAGCTATTATAATTATGCTTTAATAAAAGGAGCTTATTTATTAATCTACTGATTATGCTACAAATGAAAATGAGAATGTCACATGTATGAGATCATGACATTGTAACACACAAAATAGGTGCAGAATCAGCCCACAATCAAACAAACAAGAATCAAATTCAATACAAAAAAAAACCCAACGAGAACACGAAATTATTTAATTTGATAATCTAAATTATGTAGATAAATAGAGGTACTCCATATAAAAAAATAAATTGACAAGGAGAAGTCTAGAAGTGCTCTGATTTATTTGGCCTGCACTGCAGACCTTGCTTTAACAAAATATATTCAAATACATTCACATGAAAGAGCAACTACCCAATAGAAGAACAGAGGATGAAAGAATCAAGAAAAATGAAGAATCAAGGGTCAAAGGTGAACTAATAAGGATGAAATGAGATGAGGATGAGTCAGGGTAGTCTCCTGAATTATCATGAAGGATGAAGGAAAGAAATAGGAGCTGGGTGAAGGCGATGAAATGAAAATGGAAATGAGGAAAAGGGTATTAACAGCTGAATGAGAGGAAGATAATTTCAAGAACTAAGAACAAAACATTTAATCTATTACATAATCATGATTGAAGTCAAAATGAGGTTATTCACTGCACACAATGATATAAACATGGTTTTGAAATCACAAACGTCTATACAAAACTAACATATTTAACAGATTTCAATGTTGGCTACGTAGATGTCTTTAATTGTAGGACAAGTTGTTTCATATACGATAACACAATTAAAAAAATGTTTATGTCATTAGTTCTGATATTGACAATTTAACAGAATCTAATATTCAATATGCACAAACATCAAATATATTGGAGCATTGCATGAAAAAAAAAAAAAAAAACTTGCGTACCGAATATAGTACGGTGGTAAAGAAAAGAAAATAAGTTCACAAATACATGTACATCTTAAAGAACAAATATTCACACTTAGAGAGGTCATGGAAATCACATCTAATCAAATGACAATTTTATTATGGTCAAGCATAGTACTTTCTGAAATTCAGCATTTTTTTCCTCATGTAAAAATTCAGTTTAAATACACAGTTATATCAATTTAACACAAATCAACATAAATTTTAAAAATGAGTAACATATGCCTCAAGTGACATATTTATGTACATATACACTTGTCTTTTTTACCCCCAGAATAAGTGGAAGAAAACAAAAATGACAAGTTGATGGAACAATATATAGCATAAAGGATTCACGACTAAACAAATGCTTGTGGAATATAGATTACTGCAGCAAGAGATATATAAAACGGCATCAAAGTCACATAACTACTGTAAAGTAATCATACACTTAACAGTTCCCAGTACCAGTATGAAACAAACTAAATAAAAAATGAAAAGGGAAAGTACAAAAAACATATGCCATGACAATCTTCCATTATATATATATAGATATATAATGAAGCACAGAATCAGGATAGTTTACAGTTAGTACAGTAATACTTTCTAACGTAGTATGGTATTATTTCAGAAAATATGGCATAATAATCTTCCTATATATACATATATAACGAGGCACAGAATCAATATACTTTACAGTTAGTACAGTAATACTTTCTAACGTAGTATGGTATTACTTCAGAAAATATTCCATGATAATCTTCTTATATATACATATATAATGAGGCACAAAGTCAATATAGTTTACAGTTAGTACAGTAGGCCTAATACTTTTACGTAGTTGGTATTTCTTCAGAAAATATGCCATGATAATCTTCTTATATATATACATACATAATGAATCACAGAATCAATATACTTTACAGTTTATAGTACAGTAATACTTTCTAACGTAGTATGATTTTACTTCAGAGAATACGCAATAATAACCTTCTTATATATACATATATAGTCAAGCACATAAATAATATACTTTAGAGTTAGTACAGTAGGCCTAATACTTTCTTACGTAGTATGGTATTACTTCAGAAAATATACCATGATATCTTCTTATATATGTATACATATATAATGAGGCACAAAGTCGATATAAGTTACAGTTAGTACAGTAATACTTTCTAACGTATGTGATATTACTTCAGAAAATACGCCATGATAATTTTCCTATATATTCATATAATAATGAAGCACATAAACGATTTAATTTACAGTTAGTACAGAAATAATTTTTAATATACTATGGTAATACTTTAGAAAATTTTGATTGTGACTATAGTAGTGAATTGAAAAAGTTATGTTATCATTAAAATTATTAAAAACTACAGATATCATCATTGGATCATTTTGGTATTGGAGCAAAAGTCGTTTCTTTTTCCTCAAGTCTTCTAAAATGTGATATAAGTACCTCCAAATGAGAATTCATACAATCAATAAAACAAATAAAAATTAATATCTTTCTTTTCATTTAATTGCATAGTTGGGCAAATCCAAGGTAAAGACATGTATGTCCTATAAAACCCTAGCTCCATACATTGCAAGTATTGTTGAATTGTATTCTGGAATTGTGAGCATGAACTGACATAAATATATCTCTCTTGTTCATGTTTTTGGATGATTCACGCTCCAGTAGGGCTATCAGTTTCATACAGTCATCAGATCGACAGAATCCGAGGTGTGGTGGGAAACTAATATGGGACAGGGTGGGGGGGGGGGGCACATCTCCAAAAAAAGGTAAAATGAACGTTAACAAATGTAAAAATAATTTTTTTTTTCCAGGGGGGGGGGGCGGGCCCCCGGGCCACCCTGGATCCGCCACTGGTAGAGACCACCACGACAAGCAAGGGGTTCAACACAGGTTCATAAACATTAAATATAAGAGTATAATTAAATTCAAATCCACTGCAGTACAAAGTGAGATCCAAATCAGTTGCACTAGTAAGTAATAATATTCAGTGCAAGATAAATGTACAAATGGCCGATTTGAGGAGTAAAAGCTGACATTGCTTTCATTGATTGGTCAACACGACCAATAATTGTATTTCTTTTATTGACAGAATATTGAGAAATATATCGTTTTATCAAGACGTCGAAGATAAATTCTTGCAAAAACATGTCCAAATATATTGTTATGTATAAACATGTAAGAAGAAATACATATAAAAATATAAAAATAGGATTCGATATTGAATAAGGAAAATTGTTGGGTATTGGAAGACAGTAACATTTGCGAATTAAACTTTTCACCGCTGCTAAAAACATATGATTGTGTAAAATAATATATTACAAAAATACTACTCTAGTTGTTTAATGTCAGAATTGTTCAATTATATTTATATATATATATATATATATATACATTCATATATTTTTGTTGTTCTTCTTCAATTTACATGCATCTTATCTTTGACAATACAAAAAGTCAAATTATCTGTGACAATTAAATCAAGTATGAATTACTTTGATTTCTTTTACATCCATGTGCTTGAATGTATTTTTCTCACTTGAGGCACATCGATATTCACTGCAATTTATTATGTAATTAATGTCCAAAGGTTTCAAACATTCGAACTGAACATAGTACAATCAACTCTACAAAAAAGGCATAATTTATATTCATATCTTATAATAAGGAAATGCCTTCGATATCACACATTATTTTCTTAAACATTCAAAATAAACAACATCAGTTATATAATCTTCTAGACCTAAATCTCGCCTGTATTCCGAGGTTAATTTTCTTCTACATATAGTACAGGGTAACAGAAAATAACGAAACTAAATGCAGAATTTGTGGTTAGTAGATGCCATGTTGAGTCTCAAGATAGTCTTGTATCAAGATTTCCATATCAAACATATAATTTACATCTCATCGCAATACTTATTACTAGGATTAATTATGTATACTATCTATTTCTAACGAAAAGATAATAATATCACCACTTATAAAATGGCAATATTGTACTCTGTATTTTATCTTTAAATTGTCTTTTGATGAATCGACGGTTTTCTGTTCTCTAAAGTCAGCACATGTATTAACAATCAATATAGTGTTGGGAAAAGTCAATGGGCTAGGAAATATGTTTTGTCTATTACAAATAAATAACAAAGACTAGATGGATCATCGACTACGCGCAGTCGAATACGATGCCTACGCCATCGAGTGATTTTACAAACGAAAACGGAAGCAATCTTCAAAATTCGAGTTTGATTGTAATCCATTAAGAGGTTCTCAGAATATGGTGATTACAATTAAGCTATTTTTAATATACATGTATGACCCTTTGTTCTTTGACATCATGGCCCTAAAATCTAATCAGTTCATTGGCTCCGCCAGATACATACATGTCCTGAGTTTGATAGTAATCCATTTGTCAGTTCTAATGATAATGGGTTCACAAGCTATGTTTGCATACATCATGAGCCCCATGACCCTTTACCTCATGACCCTAACATCTACTCAGCTCATTGGCTCTGCAAGATACATACATGTTTTGAGTTTGCTGGTAATCCGTCATGTTCTAATGATAATGTGATATCAAGCTACTTTTGCATACATAATGAGCCCTGTGACCTTCGACCTTGTGACCTCAAAATTAGATCAGTTCATTGGCTGTGTAAGATACATACATGACCCAAGTTTGGCGGTAATCCATCAATCGGTTCTTGAGATAACGCGATCACGAGAACGGGACGTACGGTACAGACGGACAACCAGAAAACATAATTCCTCCGGCTACTTTGTAGTGGAGGCATAACAATTCAAAATCAATCCGACCTTTATGGGTCTCCTATAGGGGTGAGTGACGTAAACACGGAGTGTGGCTTTCCGGGAAGAGGACATGAAAAGAGGCTGGAAGGTTACACATCTGAACTGAACTCCTTGGACGTTGGTGGAAGACAAGGCAAAGAGTTGCAGATGGTTCGTAGGGAAAACAACCGTGTCCTTGGAGACGTGGAAGCCTTTTGAAGAATGCGGAAGCAATCTCCTGCGACTGAACGTTCCTTGATAAATAAAAGAGAGCTTATTGCTATATTAAATCTTTAAATCTCAGTAGAATATCTCATGATAATTAAAAGTGAAGTCCACACAGATATTAATTTGGTTTTGATAAAAACAAACCTGTGAAAAGTTTGAGAAAAATTTGATTAATATAAGAAAATTATTAGATTTATAAGTTGCAATTTATCAATCACAACTTGACAGCTCTGTGACATATCTTATGTGGCCCTATCCCACCTGCTCAGTACTGAAATTTGTTGATAAAGGAATAGATTCGTTGTTAACCAGGGGATGTGTGAAAAATTACCAGTATTGTTATTATGACGATGAGAATTTGAGAAAGTGATCAATTTAGCTCTTGAATAATTTATGTCCAGAAAAGGTTAATACCTAGTCCCATTTTGGTGTACAGGATCATCCCTGAGCCATCCCTGCATTGCTTAGGGCCGACGCAATGTGGAAGCACTACCGTAGCAGGTTCGAGCAGTTCCTGGGTTAGAGAACACTCCACGACTGGAGTGATCAACACCTCACCGTCCCTGAGAGGAATCCGATCAGCGCCCTCTCTAGGTACCCTGATGGTAACCACAGATCTCATTCCCCTGTGCAACGCCCCGGCAGGGATGGAAACCCGGATACCAAGTTCACGCAGCTCCACTACCCCTCCTCTGTGATCCAGGATGCTGCTCGAGAGGAACTCCACGAAGCCTGGATCAACTTTGATGGCTGTAATGATTAAAAAGTGACAAAGGTTAAAAGAAAATGTAAGGTAAAAGGAAGTTTACAGGGCAAAGAAACAGGGGTAGGAGTTCAACTTTGCTGGGAATCTTTATCCAACATCATGAAGTCCATCTACAATGCTGGTAAACCAGACAAAGCCATTCTGTTTTAAAGGCTCCGTTAATTATTTTTTTAAGGCAGATATTTGTAATATACCAAGAGATGCCGAATATTGTATGTCCACTCTTCTATTGATTTGGTGATTTATACAGAAATAAAAGCAATAATTACTTGCAGCTATGCTTTCTGCCGCATCATTGAAACGGAAAGCTTGGACAATCTCCAAGAGTCTCCCTCGGGTTCCTCCTCTCCTTAGCCATTCTCTGAGCATGTGCAGAACAACCGGATGTACTACGTACAGGGGCAGGGTGACGTTCTTACACATGGCACGCATGATGTCAGAAGCGCCAAATTGCAGGCGTGGGACAAACTGAAGCAAGTCAGACATGGAGCACATCCTTATGTAGAGTTCTTCGAGAGCGTCATCTAGAAATAATCACATGATGATAATAATAATAATAATAATGAAAATAACAACAATAACTAATATTATCATTATCATTATTATCATCAATAATATTATGTATTATTTACACCATTCTTACAATAAATATTAATGTAATTATTACTTAAATGTTTATTTATTAAATGTTATTGTTAATATTATTACTACAATTATTATTATTATTTCCATTATTGTTATATCGTTATCGTCATCATCGTTATTATCATTGCGGTTGTTGTTGTTAATGGGCTGAATGAATACAGGAGAAGAAAAGTATTAAAGAACATTAAAATATTAAAAAGGAATTTAACTTGCAATGTGAATCTAATGGGAAGTCAAACGTTCTGGAGTTCTGGAACCAAGGACATGCTCGTTGTTTAAAGTGACTGTCAAAGTGATCTCCGGACAATTACGTTAGAGTATCCTCTGTACCCACACACCCGTGCATCCATCCATACATCCACCCACGCATGCACTCACCCACACATCCACCCACATACGCGCTCACACATCCAAGGCAAACCTGTTTGGTTGTCCTGAATATTGTATTCCAGGAGAAGCTCAGCCATTTTATCGCTTCTTTCCTTCCTATCTAAACCAATCCACGAATTATCAACGAGCTGTCTTGCAACCTTGGTCAGTGTTGTCAAATCAGGTGGCTCCATGAGTGGAGCAATAACGTCGTCCTCCAACCAGAGAGCTTTTCCTAATTCCCAGGCCAATGGCAAAGTCTTCACTGCCCGAGCGACACTGCAAAGCTCCTCCGAAGTTGGCGGTCCTCCAGATTTGTTGATGTCATCAACAGAATTTTCCTGATCTATAGTAAATAAAAAAGAACCGTTTGGCGATTGAAGGCTTTCGGTACCACCATGTGACAGACTTACTGAAAGGCTGTTTATATATTCTCTTATCAAAAGTATCCGTTTATGGGGTGTTCAGAGGTATTAAGGAAAAGGTTAAAAAGGGCAGAAAAGAAGAGAGATAATAATGGAATTAAGTTTTTTTCTACACTTCGACAAGACTATCTTTGGCCTTTATTCTTGGTGTTTGTACACACAAACTGAGGTGAAACTAGATACAAAAAAATAGTAACAATTAATGACCATGGTAACAAATATATAATGAAGATACTTGTGATTATATTATCAGTAATAAATATATTAAAGATATTATTCAATCGTGATAGATTACACGGCAGCCTACACCACCAAACTAACTCTAAAGGCTTGTTTAGATATAGTGCGGCAAACTGCTGCAAAAAAGGCATAATTTTCCTTTGTTTGTGTGCGCATATTCAGTCTGTGTTATAAGATATAGAAATGTGAAGCGTATTACACTTTACACATTACAAGAACACCCTATGGTTATGCCAACTTTTATCTAAATTAGCCTTAAAACGATCAATTTTTGTTGGCCATGTAATGACATTTTTTCTTCAGTTTGGTGTCGGTCTGTATGGTCTCATTGGTGGGATTTAGGTATTACGGGTGATACGCTGCACTTTGTCATCTTATGTGTAAGTGAAAGTCTTTTAGTTGTCTTAAGAAATTGAAACATACAGTTGAAAGGTATCTGTATAAGCCACCCATGGTAATTGTCTTTCTATTCCGGGCATTATTAATTAGTTATGAATGGCGACATTTAATGTTAGTATAACTAAAATGAAAGAAAAAAAGTTTCCAGAATCTGGTCCCAGTCCAACCTTTCAATTGCTCTGTTCTCGATGGCTTTCATCGAAAGGGTGCGGTGCGGCGCGGCGCGGTGTGGTGTGCTCAACGCACCCATTCGATAAAAGGCCCCCCGCTTTTCTCGAAAGGGTGCGTTGAGAGCGGAGTACCGTTTTAACACACCCTTTCGATAAAAGCGGGGGGGGGGGGGGCTTTTCTCGAAAGGGTGCGTCGACTAGTCTTTCGCATCAGTCGTTTAAAATGAGGATCTGGGACAGAAGGTAATAGTTGCCAATTTAAGTAAATCGAAAATGTATGAAATAAAATGGAATGGTCTTGATTACAGAGTGTTCTCTTTCGTTATTACTATGTTGATGGGGAGACAGAGAGAAGGAAGAAGGGGAAAGGGAAAGGGAAGATAAAAGGAAAGAAAGAAGAAGAAGAAGAAAAGGGGGAAACGGGGGGGGGGCGAAGGGCTCTTGGCTCCTCCTCACCCCCCTCCCCCCCCCCCCGCCAAAAAATAAATAAGAGAGAGAGAAGGGAAAGGGAAAGAAAATATAAAAGGAAAGAAAGAAGAGGAAGAAGGAAAGAGGGAAACGGGGGAAAAGCGAAAGGCTCTTACCTCCCCCCCCCCCCCCCCCCGCCAATAAAATTAATAGGAGAGAGAGAGAGAGAGAGAGAAGGGAAAGGGAAAGAAAATATAAAAGGAAAGAAAGAAGAAGAAGAAGGAAAGAGGGAAACGGAGGAAGGGCGAAAGGCTCTTACCTACCCCCCCCCCCCGCCCCCTCCCGCCAAAAAAAATAAATAAGAGAGAGAAGGGAGAGGGAAAGAAAATCTAAAAGGAAAGAAAGAGGAAAAAGAATAAGAAGAAAAGAGGGAAACGGGGGCGAAGGGCTCTTGCCCTCCCCCCCCCCCGCAAAAAATAAATAAGAGAGAGAGGGAGAGAAGGGATAGGGAAAAAGAAAATATAAAAGGAAAGAAAAAAGAGGAAGAAGAAGAAAAGAGGGAAACGGGGGAAGGGCGGAGGACTCTTGCCTCCTCCCCCCCCCCCCGCCAAAAAATAAATAAGAGAGAGAGAGAGAGAGAGATTTGAAAGCGAAAGGGAAAGAGAATATAAAAGGAAAGAAGGAAGAGGAAGAAGAAGAAAAGAGGGAAACGGGGTAAGGGCGGAGGACTCTTGCCTCCCCCCCCCCCCCGCCAAAAAATAAATCAGAGAGAGAGAAATTGGAAAGCGAAAGGGAAAGAGATGATAAAAGGAAAGAAAGAAGAGGAAAAAGGAAAGAAGAAAAGAGGGATCGACACGGGGGCGAAGGGCTCTTGCCATCCCCCCCCCCCCCCCCGCCAAAAATAAATAAGAGAGAGAGAGAGAGAGAGAGATTTGAAAGCGAAAGGGAAAGAGAATATAAAAGGAAATAAAGAAGAGGAAGAAGAAGAAAAGAGGGAAAAATTTTTTTGTTGAAAATAGGACGTATAGTTGCGGAGTCACGTGACCTTTTGTTTTTGCATGTCAGCCCTAAAATCGCTCATTTTTGTGATTTATGTACCAAACATATGGAAATACCATTTATTCTTTTAAAAAAACAGAAAACATTGGTTATTTGGTCTTGTTTCAATTTAATGTGTTTGTTTTTGGGTCAAAATAGTTGAATTGTGCTTAGAAATGAAATAAAACAACAAAAACAATATAATACATAAATACAAATTATCAAAACAAGAGATAACATGGGGATAAACTGGCTCTTCCAACTTTGTTGTCGTATTATTATTCTTACGAATATATGTAGTGAAAAAGAACGCTTGAATATGAATTATATATGATTTATGGGTAAAAATGTGAATTCTCTGATCTTGTTTGCATAAATTACCATAAATATGCAAATGAGTGAATTTTTCCAAAAAATGAAATTACCATAGTTTTGTATAAACTTCACTTGACATGCATGCACATTTTCGCGGCGATCGTAAAACGGCCGAGATCTAAGAGGGGGACCCCCCCCCCCCACCCTCAAGTCTACTCCAATCACATTGAAAAAAAAGTATGACTTAAATCATCTCTCTCATCGTTATACCGCTATAGTATTCATGTTTTTAATATTATTTATTGTCCTTCCATTAAACAAGTTCATAGAGAAAATACTTATCTCTCTGCAACATTAAAAAAGAATCTTCATTAATATGTCTTAATTTGTATTGATAGCCTTGTGGTCGCCAACAGTGGCGTAGGTAGGGGCGTCTCCAAAGGGGGGTGTGGGGTGCGACACCCCCCCCCCCCCACCTGTCAGGATATTGTCGGTAAAATTGCGCTGCCGTCGGGAAAAAAGAGAAAAGGGGGAGGGGAAAAAAAAGAGGGAAAGAGAAAGAAAAGAAAAAAAAAAAAAAAAAAAAAAGAAAGAGAAAAACGAAAAAGAGGGAGAATAGGAAAGAAAGGAAAAAAAGAAAAGAAAGGAGGCAAGAGCCCTTTGCCCCCGTTTCCTTCTTTTCTTCTTCTTCCTCTTCTTTCTTTCCTTTTATCTGCTCTTTTCCTTTCCTTCTCTCTCTCTCTCTTATTTATTTTTTGGCAAGGTGAGGGGGGGGAGGCAAGAGCCCTTCGCCCCCGTTTCCCTCTTTTCTTCTTATTCTTCTTCCTCTTCTTTCTTTCCTTTTATCTTCTCTTTCCCTTTCCCTTCTCTCTCTCTCTCTTATTTATTTTTTTGGCGGGGGGGGGGGGGGGTAAGAGCCCTTCGCCCTCCCTCCGTTTCCCTCTTTCCTTCTTATTCCTCTTCTTTCTTTCCCATTCCCTTCTCTCTCTCTTCTTTCCCTTTCTCTTCTCTCTCTCTTATTTTTTTTTTGGCGGGGGGGGGGGGGAAGAGCCTTTCGCCCTTCCCCCGTTTCCCTCTTTCCTTCTTCCTCTTCTTTCTTTCCTTTTATATTTTCTTTCCCTTTCTCTTTCCCTTCTCTCTCTCTTATTTATTTTTGGCGGGGGTGGGGGGAGGGGGAGGGGGAAGGCAAGAGCCCTTCGCCCTTCCCCCGTTTCCCTCTTTCCTTCTTAATCCTCTTCTTTCTTTCCCTTTCCCTTCTCTCTCTTATTTATTTTTTTGGCGGGAGGGGGGGGGGGGAGGGCAAGAGCCCTTCGCCCCCGTTTCCCTCTTTTCTTCTTATTCTTTTTCCTCTTCTTTCTTTCCTTTTAGATTTTCTTTCCCTCTTCCTTCTCTCTCTTATTTTTTTTTTTGGCGGGAGGGGGCGAGGGGGGGGGGGGTAGGTAACAGCCTTTCGCCCTTCCTCCGTTTCCCTCTTTCCTTCTTCTTCTTCTTTCTATTTCCTTTTATATTTTCTTTCCTTTTCCCTTCTCTCTCTCTCTCTCTCCTATTTATTTTATTGGCGGGGGGGGGGAGGTAAGAGCCTTTCGCCCCCGTTTCCCTCTTTTCTTCTTTTTCTTTTTCCTCTTCTTTCTTTCCTTTTAGATTTTCTTTCCCTCTTCCTTCTCTCTCTTATTTTTTTTTTTGGCGGGGGGGGGGGGAGGCAAGAGCCCTTCGCCCCCGTTTCCCTCTTTTCTTCTTATTCTTCTTCCTCTTCTTTCTTTCCTTTTATCTTCTCTTTCCCTTTCCCTTCTCTCTCTATCTCTTATCTATTTTTTGGCGGGCGGTGGGGAGGGAGGAGGCAAGAGCCTTTCGCCCTTCCCACGTTTCCCTCTTTCTTTCTTATTTCTCTTCTTTCTTTCCTTTTATATTTTCTTTCCCTTTCCCTTCTCTCTCTCTCTCTCTCTCTCTCTCTCTCTTATTTATTTTTTTGGCGGGGGGGGGGGAAGGCAAGAGCCCTTCGCCCTTCCCCCGTTTCCCTCTTTCCTTCTTATTCCTCTTCTTTCTTTCCCTTTCCCTTCTCTCTCTTATTTCCCTTTCCCTTCTCTCTCTCTTATTTATTTTTTTGGCGGGGGGGGGGGAAGAGCCTTTCGCCCTTCCCCCGTTTCCCTCTTTCCTTCTTCCTCTTCTTTCTTTCCTTTTATATTTTCTTTCCCTTTCTCTTTCCCTTCTCTCTCTCTTATTTATTTTTGGCGGGGGTGGGGGGAGGGGGAGGGGGAAGGCAAGAGCCCTTCGCCCTTCCCCCGTTTCCCTCTTTCCTTCTTAATCCTCTTCTTTCTTTCCCTTTCCCTTCTCTCTCTTATTTATTTTTTTGGCGGAGGGGGAGGGCAAGAGCCCTTCGCCCCCGTTTCCCTCTTTTCTTCTTATTCTTTTTCCTCTTCTTTCTTTCCTTTTAGACTTTCTTTCCCTCTTCCTTCTCTCTCTTATTTTTTTTTTTTTTTTGGCGGGAGGGGGCGGGGGGGTGGGGGGTTGGTAAGAGCCTTTCGCCCTTCCTCCGTTTCCCTCTTTCCTTCTTATTCTTCTTTCTGTTTCCTTTTATATTTTCTTTCCTTTTCCCTTCTCTCTCTCTCTCTCTCTCCTATTTATTTTATTGGCGGGGGGGGGGGGGGAGGTAAGAGCCTTTCGCTTTTCCCCCGCTTCCCTCTTTCCTTCTTCCTCTTCTTTCTTTCCTTTTATATTTTCTTCCCTTTCCCTTCTCTCTCTCTCTTATTTATTTTTTGGCGGGGGAGGGGGGTGAGGAGAAGGCAAGAGCCCTTTGCCCCCCCCCCCGTTTCCCTCTTTTCTTCTTATTCTTCTTTCTTTCCTTTTATCTTCCCTTTCCCTTTCCCCTTTTTCCTTCTCTCTGTCTCCCCCATTTCATCAACATAGTAATAACGAAAGAGACTATGCTCTGTAATCAAGACCATACCATTTTATTTAATACATTTTAATTCGATATACTTAAATTGGCAACTATTACCTTCTGTCCAGGATCCTCATTTTAAACGACTGATGCGAAAGACTAGTCGACGCACCCTTTCGAGAAAAGACCCCCGCTTTTATCGAAAGGGTGTGTTAAAACGGTACTCCGCTCTCAACGCACCCTTTCGAGAAAAGCGGGGGGCCTTTTATCGAATGGGTGCGTTGAGCACACCACACCGCGCCGCACCGCACCGCACCCTTTCTATGAAAGCCGTTCTCGATGTAGGCTTAGGTCCAAGAGAAAACATTCCATTCGTTGGACTAGAATGTCAACTCGAGACCCCGTGCCCCAATGCACTTTGATACGCTATACTTCTCGCAAAGAGTATGCTGTAGACCTGGTGTTTAGTGTGCCTGTTTACAAAACCGGTAATCTTTCTACAAATCTTTGGGATAGGCTGAAGATTAACAGAAAAAAGAAGAAGAAGAAGAAGAAGAAGAAGAAGAAGAAGAAGAAGAAGAACTAGATGGAATTCGACTGCGCGCAGTCGAAAATGATGCCTCCGTCATAGAGCAATTTTACAAACCGAAACGGAAGAAATTTTTCAAATTCAAGTTCAATTGTAATCCATTAACATGTTCTCAGAATATCGTGATTACAAGCAATTTCTCATAAACATATATGACCCTTTGATCTTTGACCTCATGACCCTAAAATCTACTCAGTTCATTGGCTCTGCAAGATTTCCTGAGTTAAATAGTAATCCATCTGTCAGTTCTAATGAAAATGCGTCCACAAGCTATTTTTGCATACATAATGAGCCCATGACCTTTGATCTTATGAACCATTCATTGGCTCTGCAAGATACATAAATGATCTAAGTTTGGCAGGACTCCATCAATCTGTTCTAATGATAATACGATCACAAGCTATTTTTGCATACATAATGAGCCGCATGACCTTGACCTTTACCTCATGACCCCAAAATCTAATCAGTTCATCAGCTCTGCAAGTAACATACATGACCAAAGTTTGGCAGGAATCCATCAATCGGTTGTTCAGATAACGCGATCACGAGCTGTTTTTGCATACATAATGTGCGCTGTGACCTTTGACCTCGTGACCCCAAAATCTAATCAGTTCATTGGCTTTGCAAGATACATACATGACCAAAGTTTGGCAGGAATCCATCAATCGGTTCTTCAGATAACGCGATCACAAGCTGTTTTTGCATACATAATGAGCCCTGTGACCTTTGACCTTTGACATACGTGCTCCAAAATGTAATCAGATTGTTTTCCTATAGTGATACACACTATTACTAAGTTTGAAGTTTAAATCTCCAGTGGTTCTTGAGATATCATGATAACAATCTCAATGTATGGAATTTCATAAGTTGACCTCTGTGACCCTTGACCTTTGACATACGTGCTCCAAAATCTAATCAGATCGTCTTCCTATGGTGATACATACTATCCTTAAGTTTTAAGTTTAAATCTCAAATGGTTCTTGAGATATCGCGCTAACAAACTCAATACAAGGAATTTCATAAGTTGACCTCTGTGACCTGTGACCTTTGACCTACGTACTCCAAAATCTAATCAGATCGTCTTCCTATGGTGATAAATACTATTCCCGAGTCTTAAGTTTAAATCTTAAATGGTTCTTGAGATATTGTGATAACGGTCAAACGGGACGGACGGACGGACGTACGGACGTACGGACGGACAACCCGAAAACATTATGCCTCCGGCACCACCTTCGGTGGCGGAGGCATAAAAAGAAGAAAAAGGAGAAAGAGACAACTATGTCAGAGTACAGGCCTACCTTTGAATTTCTCTGATTCTGATGCTGTTTGGATGGACTCCCAAACGCGTTTCAACACCTCTATAGCTTCTGGTCCTGAAGATTGGGATGCTTTCCAACTAGACAGCATCTGGATGTTGGCATCCTTTCTGTTTGCACATGTTCGATGCTGTATGTGTTCTAGCTCCGTGCGGTTGAATCCCAACTTCTGTCCAATCTCAAAGAATTGCTCTGCTTTGATCTGCCTGGCAAACGCAAGCAGCATCTTGTCGGGAACCTCACTGTGATTGATAGTAAAGTAAACCAGTTATTACTTCGCGTCTGGTCGGGTGGTCGCGTTACCCGACCTTTTGTGACAACATGCCATTTAATTCATAAAAGGTGGGTGGTCATATTTGTGAAATAAACCCCTCTCATCTAAATATAGTGTAATCCCAATGACCAAACACTTAGTGAAAACCCTACAGCAAATCTACGAATTAAAAGTCGCACCATCTTCCACTTTTGTTTCACGAAAGGTCGTGTAAGGGTCAATCAAACCGGACGATATGACCTAGTGATTCAAAGTAATCCCAAGACGAAAATCCAATTGAAACCAATTGGATTTTCAATTGGCTTCAATTTGTTCTAATTGGTTTTAATTGGTCTCAATAAGTTTTAACAGGTTTCAATGGGACTTTAATAGGACTTCGAGTTGGTTTCAATTGGTCCAGATTGGTCCTATTGGACCAACTGGCCCAATTGACCTGGGATGGGACCCAAGTAGGTTCCAATTGGACCAATCGGTCCTAAGTTTGACTTCAATGGGGACCATTTGCCAATTGGTTTCAATAGCTACCCATTGTTTCACTTTCCATGTACTCTAAATTGCCAATTGGTATTCAATTGGGATCCAATAGAGACATTCAGTGGGGATTCAATTGGATTTTCGTCTTGGGATAAGCTCTTATTAAGGACGTTGCAATTATTCTCTGTCTATGCATAATTTGTTCACGTACATGGAGTTTCACTGCTATTCAACTTTACGTGTCAAATCTTATGGAATCTGTGTCAGCATACCAAACTGTTTTTGGGGCAGGCCAGGATGCGCAAAAGTTGTTCGAAATGGTGCGCCAAATACTCTCGCAGAATAACCCAAGAGTGACCACGTCAGTAATACAATATCTCAAGTCAAATATTTATAATTATACGATATAGGGCTCTCTATCATATAAATATACTTACCCAGTTGTAGCTGGTTATGATACATGTTGATCAAGTGGCAGACGTTTATGATAATGACGACACATGGACGGGGAAGGAGAAAAAGAAGACAAAATTATAATATGTTGCTGGGAATAACTTCAAAAACATGGGTAGGAAGGAAAGATTTAAAAACAAATTTAGAAGAACGGCCTTTTACCTCAACCTATAATAACCACACTTGCATGAAGACCTGGTCAAACATCATCTATAAGATTATAACTATAATGATAAATCGTTCCAGATTCATAAGATAATATGCGGGCAGTGTCACTGCTGCTAATTTTTTTTTTAAAACAGAACCCAACAATTTTATCATTCAGGTATGGCCACTTTAAATGTCGTTTTCACCATCGGTTCCTTATATATGCCAAGCAATATTCATTATAGAAATAACGCTAAATCATTCCCAATTCAGAAGACATTATGTCGGCAGTGTCCCAATTGATTTATTTACAGAACGCCAGTAATTTTATTACTGAGGGCTCCGTCTTATAAAGAGTTGTGAATGATATGGATCGATCGCAAGTTTGCAGTCCCCATCTCGTATATGTACGTAGTTGCGATTAATATCAACTCTTTAAAATATTGGCCCATGCGTACAAATGCAGAGCACTAATTGTTAGGTCCGACCAGGCCTTAATGCAATTCTTTTTCAAATTATCTCCTTCCTATTTTCCAACGGCATCTCCCTTCTTTTTTTCATATTAAACAGAATGGCCTAAATCCACAAAGAACAAAACATTGGTAGACCATGGATATCATGGGATGCCTGCATGCAGGTCGTTAATGCCGCTGACGATATACTATGATCGGCCAAGAGAGGAAACGTGATCAAAAGCAAAAACAGTCAGAATATGGACAAAACAACTGTAACATCTTTATTCACTTTAACAAAAAATAAGAAATAATCAAAATGAAAAATAACACTACAAACATGACGGTGCATTGAACACTTTCTCCTGCGACAATTGCTCCATCTTATATTTTGTCAAAACTAAGGAGTACGGATTAAGGTTAGGTTTAGGGTTGTAAATGTTTTTTTAGGATAGGTTTAGGGTAAGGGTTAGTATTGGTGTGGGCATGGTGTGGTGTAGGGTTGAAAAAAGCTATTCAATTGTGGGAAATTACCGAAGAGCGACTGATGCAATAGCAAGTGCCATTCAACTAACCTGACATCTCTGTCTGTTCGGCTGGCGAGTCCAAAGATTTAATGAGCGAAAGAAACGTTTTCTTCGCTTCTAGGCCGGAGGTCTGTCTCTTTCTCCATGTCACCAGCATGTCATAGATGGCCTGTTGTCTGTCACGGAACCTCCTGTATTCTATGACAATCAACTTTTGTATGGTGAAACCAAGAGCCACTCCCAAATCATAGTACTGGTTTACCCTCATCATCTGAGCTATCGTGAAGACATCAATATCGGGAAGGTCACTGCCGGAGAGCTCTTCCACAGCCCTGAAAAATATACAGTCAAATCTGATTTGGCAACAGCTGTACAGAGAGATTATGAAGATCGTGTACTATGTGCCCCTTTAACATTGTTTACTATTGAGTCCCGTGTGTAAAGACAATCTGCCTTTAAAGACCGATTTTCTTTTCTCCCTTGAACAGTATTTATATACAGGTTCCACTACAGTAACACTCACATTTCTCTTGGGGGGGGGGGGTGACCGGTTCAATACAAATTTATTTTCAAAATAGGAATAGACTTTGACCATATATTAATGGTTCATCCTTCATAAATCTTTTATTTCTCTGCGTTAACATTCCATATTTTATTTTAAAATGTGAAGAAATGTCAATGAAGTGTAATGAATGATATTAGGTATGAATGGTTGTAGTATCATGTGTATCAAGTAACAAAGAGAAAGTGAACCCTTGAATCAAACATTTCTGACAAAAACCGAGAGCTTACCGTATAAATGAAGAGAGCTCAGAGTATTCTTGGAAAGTCGAGTCATCTGCAATAAAAGTGATTCATCATTTAAAAAGGAGAAAAGATGAAATCGGTAAAAGATTTGAATTGTATTAATACTACTACTACTAATGGAGCCTAGTTAGCTGTTAATAATACTAGCAGTTCTCCATGAGGGCCCTGCAATCATATTACTGAATACTACTGTCACATGAGTCAACATGTTAGGAAATGAAAACCACAACCATCATCATCTAAACAACAGGAACAAGAACAAAAACAAGTAGAACTAGACATACAATCGTGTCACGACGGCGTGCGTACAATGACGCACGTGTTTCTACGGTTCAAACGAAGAGCTTCTCTCGGACTATCCACAGCAATTTGTAAGAAGTATGTAGCTTCTGTGATAGTGGAGATAGGTAGGGCAAAAGAATGGCCACCAAAACGGCCCAACAGTGACGGGCAAAATGGCGCCTGGACGGTCACGCATGAGGGATTCCGGAGAACAATACAGTGACCTGGAAGTGGTGCTAGAGACTATGCCTACGACGTTTGAAGGGAATTGGAATAGAGGAAGGGACCTAGAAAAGGCTTGCAAGCACTACGTGCAAAACCAATGGGATTTGGTGCATGATGAACATGTGGTGACGCGTGCTGTGGCACAAAGAGCTGCCCATACTAACACAATCATTCAGAGTATAAAATGACGTCTTAATGGGCCCCCTTGACGATTTTTAAAAATGCGGCTTTGAGGTGCACTGCGTATTGCAACTCAGAATATCACTGTACAATTTCAAGGAAAAGAAGGGACTGGAAGGGGGCGATAGCAGTCTTAAAAAATGAAGTCATAGCCGATACGTGTTATAACTTGGCGGAAACTCATCAGAATTCGTATAGTGACCCTTGTTCAAACGGAATTTAGGGGAACACAGGGTAAAGTGGAATGCTAAGCAAATTGAAACACGCCCGGTAAATTTGTGTTTATGCTGCCATCTATCTAAGTTCATGTGCCAATAACACTGCAACGAGGATGCATCGTTTGTGACCGGTGTTGCGCGAATACGTCATGTATGTGTACTTTTTTCGGAAAATGTCGGTTTTTCATACATTAAAACTGATAATTAATATAAGTATATTATCTGCTAAAATACTGTGTTCATGCCGAATTATCACGAAAGCCATATTAATGATGGATGGGCTTAAAAGCTTAATGTTATACATCGTAGCATCGCTAGTAATCATTGGCCCACGTGAAATAATGCACGTCTGAAAAATTCCACTCGTCCGGGGCAAAGAGGATGGGGCAAAGTGGAATGTGTTACAAAGTGATTCACTTTGCCCCGGAGGTCCTTGGCAAAGTGGATTGTTAATATTGTCATAGTGTTACATAGTGTTTCACTTTGCCCCAGACATCCGGGGCAAAGTGGATTTTTAATATTTGTTTGAAGTTCATGTCATTTAATAAAACCGAATATTTGAGAAACATTGTTAGTGTCATTTGTTAGTTAGTGGTATTCCTAAGGTAAAACTATAGACCAAATGTTTTGCTTTACTTTACTTTGTAATCCTGTTCTGGTTGTTCTAATTTTTTTGATCCACTCTGCCCCGGGTTCCCCTACTCAAATATTTATGTGATAACTTATAACGTCATTGCCGTTAGTTTGACACAATTGGAATTTGCGTGCAATGCATTGCATACAGTAAACGGACTACGTAATGCATAACAAATTCATCATTTTGGGCAATAATTTTGCGCTGATGTCATCAAATTTTACATAACTTAGTAGAAAGTTGTCACGTGCTTGGATACATGTGTATGCCAAGTTTCATTGACGTAGGTATATGGATCGTCATTTAAGAGCAAGTTGAAGTTATTTCGCAATTTTCTTGGAAATGGTGAATTTGGAGGGCAATTTTCTCAAATTTGGTCAGAGTTACGGTATATAATTTAGTAATTGGCTGGAAAGGGCATATCTTCAAATATCTAAATCCAAAAAGGGGTAAGGGTTTGGAAACGATGGAGATACTGGCCACAGAAAGAAAGCCAATTCCCAGAACTTTAGAGGGCGCTATTCATTTTTTGCATATTCATTGGAGCGTTAAATTCAGCATGAATTTTATGCAATTATGAAAGAAACTGCAAGAAATGGATATGATATGAGAAAGCTATGGCAATTTTTAGATTTTGAGGGGTCCATTTTCCAACAAAAATAGAGATTTTTGACGGAGTCGGTTTCGGATTTGAATTTGCAGTGCGAAGGTGGCATTTTGAAGGTCAGGTTATGCGTCGCAGAAGAAAGAACACATCTTGAACTGTTTAGAGGAATTTGTTAGAACTCTGTAGGATCTAGGATAGTGGAGATAGGAAGGAAGGAAGAAAGGCCTTAAAACGGATCAGAAATGGACAAAATGACGGCAGGAAGGTTGTGCATAAGTGATTTCGAAAATCGAAGAATGTAGTGACCTTGATGAGATGCTAGAGAATATGCCTATGAAATTCGAAAGGAAATGGACATGAGAAAGGGCATAACTAGTGATAACAAGCACTACGTGCAAAACGAATGTGATTTCCTGACGAAAACAACAAGATCACGGAGAAGAAGAATATTAATGGGCAGAATGTGAACGAAAACATGGTAATGACGATATTCGTCAATGCAATAACACCACCACCAACAGTAATGAACATGATTTGGTCGTATTTACCCAGGGTAGCCTTGTCAGTGTTAATACTTACTTTTTATATCAATTTTAATATTATTCTACCTTAATAGGTAATACAAAGTTTTGGTTTAGGGTCATGAATTTGGTTCAAATGAACATATTGGAAGCATATGCAATCCTACAATATTCAGTGATCGTTGTCGCGGTTGAAATCGAGTCTAAAGTGATGAAATTGTAAATAATAAACTCTTTATGTTGTATAGCGCCCTCTCAAGGTCAAGATATTAATTTAGCTATAAAACAATGTTTTTTGACTAAAATCGACCGATTCGCTATTACCGTTTGGAATATACATATCAGATCTGCATATTCTGAGATTGTTATGGTCGTAGCTACCATCGTATGGCCGTAGGCGCTATTTGAAATTTATCAACATTTACCGGGAGCACCGGTAAATTTTTATATTCAATTTTTCTCGAAAGCAGAAGTGTTTGAGAGGCTAATTTGTTTTACTGCTTATAATATATCCAAAGGGGCATCCAAATATATCAAAATTGTAAAGAATCACTATCCAGCCAATTTTCATAATTTACCAAAACTTTGTAATACCTTTAAGCCTGGATACTATGGATCAGGCGCTCAGTGTTTCAAACGAGATATTTTGTACTGGGTACCCGCTTACTTTACCTGATGGAGAGTGGCAAATATATATTAACGTCTAGCCAAAGGATATTGGATGACCTTCGATGACTTTATTAATGTCATTCTAATTCCGATTCCGATTCCGACTCCAATTCCAATTACAAAATCCAAATCCAAATGCACAGTCAAATTCAAATTCAAGTTCAAACTCAAATTCAAATTCAATTCAAATTAAAAATACTTAAATAAACCTGTTTATCAATTATATGCATAATTTTTTGAAAAAGTTCCCCTTTCTGAAAAGACTGAAAAGCTTTCTAGAGGCTAACCCAACATACCAACAACTAATGTATGCAAATTGAATTCCATCCAAATTGCATAGCAGGTGAATCAAATAGTTGGTAACAAAGGATTCAGGCCAGAAACATGCATATATTGAAATACATTTTTAAACAGGTCTATTGAGCCACCCCCCCCCCCCCCCACTTCCACACCACCCTCATAAATGATATGTTTTTTGTAATGTTTACGGCACTGGTTTTTTTAACTTATACCAAATGTGTCCACAAATGGGTCCAAAATGAAATTATGTTTACTCACTTCAAACTTGTATTTTTAGGATCAGGACTAATCATATTTTTGAGAAATGCAAATTCTGGACCTTAATCTATCTCCTTATTTATTCACCAGATATGAATACTTTGAGTTTTTACAATTTTATTGTGAACTATAGTATATCTAATAACTGTGATATAAAACTCAATTGCTATTAACTACACCTTTAAATATGTTGGGTCTTTAAGAATATGTTTCAGAGATTATTCATGCAAATTGTTGAGTTTCTATCTTGAAAAATACAGATTTTGTATCACTTGAAAGTGAAAAATAGCTCTAAATTATGGTTTTGACAATAACAAGTTTTTATTTCAATAGGTAAAATGCTTTTTCTTAGGTCAAACTTATTTTATTATAACAACTGATGATATAAGGTAAATACATGCAAAAAAAATGGGAACCAGTGCATTGCCTAATAATTTTCATATGACACACCACTGATGTTTCGGACGTTACACACTGTTAACATTATAACTTTATTCAAGTTAATTGCTTTTCTTTAGGTATTATTGACCTCAGTTACATTAATTGTTTGCAGAAAAATACTTCTGTAACATTTATGGAAAAAAATTGTGCAGTTTTAATTAGTTTAGCACATACATGTATACCAAGTTTGTCTTCATCGACCACTCAATTTATGTAAGGTATATTATTCATTTCAAGAGCGTGTACCGGTAGTTAAAAATGCTTATGTGATCTAACAAAGTGAAATATGAAGCTAATAGCAATTGTAGTCATCAAAACTCCTTAGAAAATTCACTTAGAAACATACTCTTTATTGCATGTTATGAACAACAGTGTGAAATGTATACTATGGTTTGTTTCGGATGTTACACAATGTTAACATTTCAATGAGATCATCAATTTCTACGAACTCTACAATATAGATGTTTAATCAGCTTGCTAATGTTCTTTGCCTTCAACTATACAGTGTGTCATTCAATAATATCACTAACACATACATGTATGTAAGCAAAACATTGACAAATCTTTTAAAAAATAAAACTATAAAAAAAGTACCCCCAGTCATGTAAGTACGGTGATAAGAAATAAGTGAATCCTAATTTATGTACATCTCGAGAATGAGACATTTTAGATGTATTTTAAAATTGTGTATGTGTTAGGTTATAATACTACTGTAGTAACAATCATCCTTTACCACTATTTGTATTAGGAGGCTGTTTCAAACGACAACATTTGTAATGCTCTTAAATAAGTATTTATTTATTTATTTAATTGATGACCGATTGATGAATGGATGGATTGTTTGGTTGGTTGGTTAATAGATCTTAACTCTTGCTGTGCCTATATCACAGGTTACAAACAATATACAGTGTAGGTTAAACATGTACCGTATTTGCCGGCGATAAGGCCGCAGCGCCGCACCTCCAACTTTGACATTTCGTAGAGGAAAAACAACAAAAACGGACAGCCCATTTATATTTCACAGTAGTGTATGGTTGCGGTTCTAACAGATAATTCCTAGCACTCTTAACACAGAGGCAGCCCAGCAGAAATGTTGTAGGATTGATAACTACTGGCTAACTGACCAGGTTTTAATATGTAAAAGCATTACAGCATTCTGTGTAGCATTCCACATACATTCCATGCAAAGTAGAATAAATCAATACATATTCATATAGTCCCATACAAGTATAAATCAACATCACAAAGTATTCTTGAATATTCAAACATAAACAAAGGGTATATATTGAATATTCATAGTATATGTAAATTATACTATATAAGCTTGACTGCATGAGGTGAAAATTGAAACCAATGAGAGAGAGAGATAGACAGATGAAAGGATGGTGGATGAAAAGGGTTAGTGAATGCGGGATGACCTATTAATATGAAAGGGATGAATCATGGATATGAAGGGGAGTTTCAGAAGTTCAAAATAAATCCCTACACTAGCTTATACATTTTGTATGTATGCATACATTTGAGGAAGATACTACATGTATATGTTTAGGATCATTAAATAAGGTATTACTGTTAGTTCCCTTTTCTTGTTTACATGTATGTACTTTCTACACAGATTAGTTACGTGTACTGAGTGCCCTTTTTAAAAGGTATTTTCAAATGAAAATCCATATTTCCCATAATTTTTTAGAAAAACATTTAAATTTGCTTGATTTTCTCAACTTTATATACCTGTATCATACCCGTGCCATGTACATGTACACTGGGTATTGCTTAAAGGGAGTGGGTAGTCAGTTTCCATGTGCAGAAGATCGTAATTCGCTGACACCAGACTTGGTGGAAATACCATTAATTGGAGTACTAATCTGCACATAGCAAACCCGGTGGCCAGTCAAGAATTACCCCCTAGTCTCTCGGAGCATGCTCGGAGATTTCTCGGGCGAAGGAAAAGCAAAGCATTACATAAGGTCTAATGGTCATAAAACTCAAGGCTAACCCTGGTGATTGACCACACCTGTTATTGGGTAAACACCCGAACGGTGTCGAATTCCCCATGAGAGCTGACTTCTATGTGACTTTAAGTGGGTGATTTTGAGCTTTTGTAACCTACCAAATAGTTTAAGTTGACCATATAATCTTTGGTTATATGACATAATTTGGAACAACCTCTGTAAAAATGAAAACGTGATGATTTGCAAACACACAGCAATGTAAATAGCAAGACGAGAGGTTGAAAAATTGAAATTTGCTATTCTCACATCTATCTTTGCCCCTCATTTGAACTAGTTAAAATATGAAAATGTCTGTTAACAGTTTAATGTAACATCCGAAACGTGCTATAACAGCATACCAGAAAGTGCTGTTAATTAATGGCTGAATAATTTTTATGAGTCACTTTTATTGAGATTTTTTGTGATAAATTACAATTAAGGATATACTAAAGCAGCCAGCAATGCCTTGCACCACAAAGTGTGGCTTCAATATTTATGTTTTATAAGTCAATTTTGCAGAAAATTTAGATATTTTACGGAAAATTTGATTTTTTGCATCATATTTCTTCATAGTTTTATATTTAGATCTAAATGAAATTATCAAAATAGTGTTTTTAACAGGAGTGTGCATTGTGAAATCGTAACTTGCACATATGATCGAAAATTAGTTGATATTTGCAAACTATGTGTTAGCAATCAAATAGTGTAACGTCCGAAACACCCTTCTTGAGTTTACACAAAATTATTTGATTTGAAAGACCTGATTTGTGTTTTGACTTGTGTTAAGACTTATAATAACTTATTTCATAATGATTTATTCACTCCAGATACCCTCAAATATGGATTATCATCATTTATTTGGTATTTTTTGTTTCGGACGTTACATTTGTTTCGGACGTTACAACTGTTAACGGAAAATTGGTTTTAACTATAAAATAGTATTGTAATGATGTATTGCAAATTTCTTTTTTTTTGGTGGGTAGCCGTCATGAAATGTTAAAAAAATGTTACGAAAGATAGGTCCTGCAGTTCATATATTTTTTGCTACTTCAAATTGAAAGTTGTTTCGGACGTTACAAAATTGTTTACGGAAAATGAGACAACTTTTTCAAATTTTGAATATATTTCTAATATAAGCGCTACTACAATTAAATTATATTTTCTTTTAATCTAATGACTTGGAGTAACTAATAAGCTTATTCAAACCATAAACAATCTCATTAAATGATTGTTCTAGTGGGTTAAATGAGGGCCTACATTGTTTACGGAAAATGTAACATCCGAAACACCATTTTCAATTGCACTGTTCCATCAAAATACAGGAGTTAATTCAGATTACTGTTAACTTTCTTTAAGATCCACCCATGCTAATTGATCATCAATAGAAAAAAAACATATTGCTTGTGGGTATATATTTTGTTCGGCTCCAACCAAAAAGGTATGTCAATTTTGTTACAAAATTCCGTAAACAATTGGCTGTTCAGGGATACCTCATGCACATAAAGCAACGCTGACATTTTTTCGTTAAGCTATGGGAGGTTAACCTAGGTCCATGCTACAAGAAAAAGTTGTAACTGATTTTTTTTAATTCTTTATCTTTGTAAAGTTTCAGGCTGTCAAAGGGTCATTAAGCTATTTGGTCATAGTTTAAAAAAAAAAACAGTGCCTTACACTATAAGTCAGAAACAAAGTTTAGCCTATTAGATGGATCTTCTCCAGCTCTCATAATAATCATCATGACTTTCATCAAGCTCTATAATGGGGAATACAATGTTCCACCAACCTGTGTGTCTTATGACGAACGCCAACGATTGTGACCTCCTGCCTAGTCTTCCAGCCTGTGAAATCGTCACGTCAAGGACTGAGAGTTCTGCAGCATCGTCGCCTGGGGTCATTGATAGCAATAAGTTGTGTCTCTTTTGGCTGTGAGTATCCTTCAAAGAAAGTAGCTGCGGACAAAAAAATACAACCAAACAATTAAAGTTAAACCTGTATTTAAAGATCAACCAGGGGAGAAAACAAAAGAGGTATTTACGAGCAGACAGTCTTTATGTACAGGGTTCTATAATACATGGTTCGATGAGAAACACAATTCAAGGGGAACAACAAATGTGGTCTTCAAAGACAAGTGATCTTGCTATGCAAATGGTAGCTTAAGGCAGATTTGACTTTATTTTATTCGATCAGTTAGCTATTAAATGAAATTAAGGACAAGTTTGGAGGGAAAAGAGTCGGCGAAAGGAAAAGAGCAGGTGAAAGGTTTTAAAAGGTTTCAATGGCAGCTAGCCTTTACAGACAGGTTGCTTTAGAACATTCATGCATTCATGAATTGGCACCAATTTATCTGCAAGAATTAATTGAGGAATACAAACCCTCACGCAATTTACGGTCATCTTCACAATTAAACCTCGTATCTACTTCCGTGTCAACTCTCTCTTATGGTAATCGCTCCTTTCGCAAAGCTTCTGCTGAACTTTGGAACATATTACCTTTAAATGTAAAAAAACTGTCAAACCGTTAACCTATTCAAAACTAGTCTCAAGACACATTTATTCAAAATTGCGTTCGATGATTAATTAACTTTGTTCAATTTGATGTGTATTCCATATGTATTGTAATTTGTAGGTTTATTTGCATTTTTAGTTTTGTATAAGATGTAATTGTATATCAGTCTATTTTGTGTGTATAGCGCTTAGAGACTTCGGTGGTAAGCGCTTTATAAGTAACGTTTTTATTATTATTATTAATATTATGTTTCAATAGGAATACATTTTAAAGGGAAACACCACATATTTATAGGGTATTTATAGACAGGTATACTTTCTATACAGGTGTTACTCAATTGGCACATGTAAATTCTTGCTACTGCGACTACGGTATCTAGCCATAGAGGGCAGCAAAGGTACGTCCCATAAAAACACAAAGGCCCGAATTCACAAAGGAGGTTTGTCGACAAACCTTGGTTTTCGTCCGTCATATGACGCGTTTCGACGCGTGTTTTTACAAACCAGGTTTGTCAAAACGCGTCAAAACGCGTCATATGAGACTTTGAAACCAACACGAACTTTCCTTCAAACACGATGCAAATTAATTCGAAATAAATAAAACATTTTGTAATTTTGTATAGCATGCCTCGAAAGCTGAATGCCTACGCTTTTATTTCATGTGAATATATTTTCAAAAAATGGAGAGAAAAATTGTTAAATTTATCTTTTCTACGGAGGCTGCAAAACAGCTTAGAAGTTTTGCGTCTCGACCACACATGCCTGAATAAAGAGGAAGCGAGTTGCGTTCTCAGAAGTCGACTTGTCATAAATTCGTGTTAAGTTCGACAAATTTAATTGACGGCGCGACATACAAAAAAAATTATTACCAAATGGAAGAAGAATATATTCTCTAACTTTTTATATGGACAGATTTTTAATTATTTTCTTTGAAAAGCGATAGATTCGATGTCCTTCGGTTCCATACAAATCGGTTCGATGTTAACATGATTTATAACAAAGAGACGCACACATAATTACATATCTTTACATGGCAAATCATGGCAACAAATAAAAAATGATAGAAACATGACATTCAAATTTTAATACTATTTTCAGAATGATATCAAAATAATAACTCTGAGTCTCATGACGAGCAAATTGAGCCACGGCGCGTCACGCATGGCCCCGCGTTATGAAATAAAATAAAATGTTTAATTTAATCAGAAAAATATTGAAAACTGAAGAAAATAGGAACAAATCACACATCAAAATAAAGCTAAGGATATATTCTAGCATGGGTGTCGATCCCCGGGGGGATGGGGGGGATATATCCCCCTCCCAATATGTCAGGTGGGGGGTGGCCTTTAGAATCCCCCCCCCAAATAATTCACCATCACAAAACAAAAATGAAGAGAAAAATTAATGAGAGCCCGATGAGAGTAGTTAATGGTAATTACTCACAAGATGACTATCAATATACACATTTTGCTATCTCATTTTCATAATACATACATATATAAATAGAAAACGAAGTAAATGAGACAAGAATAAATTGAATTCTGTTCACACAGGAAGTGATGAAGTTATTCAATCAACAGCATCATAGAAATGCAGTGCGCCAAATGCAAAGCCGCAGCGTCAAAAAGCAACGAGCTAATGTTAAGCGCGAAGCGCAAAAGTGCAAAAAAGAAGTAGAGAGTGGGAGAGATAGACAGAGAGGATAATAACCCAGGTAGCAAACCCATGTGGGACCCACATGGGTCCCATATTCTCTTAAACATGGGTCCCATATGGAAAACCATCTGGGGCCCTAAGGCATCTGCAACAAAGTAGCATATTAGGCCAGGAAAGATATCACATTTTTTAGGTAAGCCTCAAACAAATTGCAATACAATATTTTTCACTGCAATGCATTTTAGTAAGGTCCCCCAAATGACATACTAAAAGTCCGACAAAATCCGTGTAGTGGAAGTGACCCTAATTTGCATAAATCCAATATGGCCGCTATTTCGAGGATTTTCACATAGATTTGTCATATTGTTCAACTTGTATGGGCTGTTGTGGCATTAAACAAATTGCAAACAAATATTTTTTACTGCAATGCATTCTCGTAAGTTCAACCAAATGACATACTAAAAGTCCGAAAAAATCCGTGTAGGTGTTAACCATATTGGTTAACCCAGATATATCCCATGTGGGTTAACCCACTTTTTCCCAATGTGTTACCTATATGGGCATATTCATATTCTACTCATATGTGTACGCCCAGCTTATTCCTATCTGAGACCCGTAAGGGCTGGCCCAGATAGATACCATATGGGTTACCAAATATTGTCCCCATGTAGGATACATATATGGGTTCCATTTAGCCCAGATGGCACAGGTGACCCAGATCATCCCCATATTGGCCCCATATTGGCTTGCCAGCTGGGAAAAGGGGAAAAGGGTAAGAAACGGGCAGAAGAAAAAGGGAGGGGGAAGAGAAAAGGAAGAGAGACAAGATAGGGATGGTTTTGTCCAAATGGCAGCATGTAGGAGACGAAACTTGCAGTTTGTTCCACGATCCATATTCAGTATCTATTTTGTTTTATTGATTTTATCCAGTTCTTTGTTTATTTATTACTTTACATGTAAAACATTTGAAGAGCTTTTTTACGAAAGGAGCAAAAGGGGGTACAGAGCACAATTTTTTTTTTTGGATCCTCAAAAATTTTTCAATTTGCACCCCCCCCCCCCCCCCTTGAGCGCCAGGGGGGGGGGGCCCAATCCCCAAAAAAGGTAAAAATCACGTGATTTTACATGATTTTTTTTCTCAAGGGGGGGGGGGCCGGGCCCCCCCCCCCCTGGATCCGCCACTGCCGAACAGTGGTCAATGCCTAGGCAGAGCAGGCAGACTTCCACTTTCTTGTGGGCTTGGTATTTAAATACTCTGAAACAAAGCAGAAAGCCATGTTATCAATGCTAACCGCACCATCACATTCCCGAAGTGCGCTCGTTGCAATAAAATATTGTCGATTACTATTGCAGTATAAAATAGTCTGGGAGAAAATCAATAAGCATCTTTGTTACTCCGATACAAAGCAGAAAGCCGCCCATGTTACATCAATTAAAGAGAAGGTTGAGTTCTGGGGAAAGGTGAACAATAATGTAAGCGTTTGTTATCATTCTTATTATGCAATTATGGAAGAACATCAAAGAAACAAGTTATTCCCTTAAAATCTATTTCAAATGACTTCATATCCCAGATATGACAAGTAACAGCTTTAAAATGAGGCCCGATTTATATGCCTTCATTTTATTGCAAAATGTCAGAAATAGGGCTACTTTATTTTGATCAATGTGATAATCCTATGATTTAGAATACCCATTTTCTATTAGTTATTATTGAATTAATCGATTGTACGTGAAAACTGTATTGCTCAAAGAATATCGTATGCTGTGAACAACGTTTTTTTCGTTGGTATCGTGGGAATAATAAAATTAACTGAAATACACAGTATGCCCCAGAAGAAAAAAAAGAAACCGGATTTCATGACAAAATTATGAAAAGCCTTATATTATTTAGTGCAATTTGCATAAACAAATCCAATTTTGATAGAGATACTTTTCATTGTTGTAATTCAATCATGCATAAATTATTCATATCAAATTGTGCATCAAATGAAAGGAGAGACTGAAGCATAGCTTTTAATACATATCTTGTAAAATAATTTATTCATTAATTTTGCCGTTAAATTCGATTTCTATGTTTTGGGACACACTGTTTTGTCTTCCCATTTCTAAGTCAAATGTAAGATTAGTTTGGCATAAAAAAAAATATGAAAGTACTGTAGTTTATTTGGGGCACTCCAGCTAACATTACAATTAAACCTCGTGTCTTCTTTGGTGTCAACTCTTTCTTATGGTCATCGCTTTTTTGCAAAGCTTCTGCTGAACTTTGGAACAAACTACCTTTAAATGTCAAAACTGTCAGACTGTTCACCAATTCAAAACTTGTCTCAAGACACATTTATTCAGAATTGCTTTTGATGATTAAGCTTAACTTTCTCTGTTCACATAAATGTATGTTTCATATGAATTGTTAGTTGTAGGTTTATTTGCATTTTTTTTTTTTGGTTATGGTTTTGGTTTTGTTTATTATATATGTCATTGTTTATTATTTTATTTTGTTTGTTAAAGCGTTTAGAGACTTTTTTAAAACTATTATTATTACTTAGCTCAACACCTTGTGTAAATACTATTCTCACTTATGAATTGTCTTTGTTCATGCAGGAGCTGGGTTTAGGAGAGCACAATCGTGAAGATGCTGACTTCCGCCACTTCGTGGGAATGCTTGATGGCTTGGCGTTCCTACCGGAAGGAGATATGGTGCGAGGCTCCGAGTACGTGTATGCCGTCACTCCTCCGGAGGGCAATGCTCTCTTGCAGTACTTTGAGAGAACGTATATAAGAGGGC